TTCCTGATGTCCTTGTCGATGAGGATCTGTAAATTTACAGGAACATCAGAGTCAGAAGGTTCAGCTGGTCTGAGGCCAGTAGCAGTAGAAGGAAAAAAGGGTTCCACCCTCTGCTTACTGCGTCCACACTTTTGCCAAGGTACAGCTTCACCCTCATCAAACTGATTGCCTCCCTCAGAAGCGCCTCTCCTAGACACATCAGTGGACCACGTCTGGATGTCAGGTCTACAAGGTCCAGGCTCCTCCAAATCCACTTCACTGATGAGTGATGCTGGAGAAGTAGCTCTTGTAGGTTTAAGCGAGTAGAGGCCTGATGCACCTTGGCTATCTGCTTCTCTATGGCCTGATGGCGCCTGGAAGCATCCTTCTCCTGTGCTTTAGAGGCCTTCTTCACAGGCTGCTTTCCTTTGATAGAAGCAGCAGGAGCCACCTTTTGAGGCTTGGCGGCTTCAGCCATCTTGGAACAGCAAGGCCTATTCTGAACTGAAAGTCCTGTGCAAGGAAGAAAGCACATGAAGGGATTTATAAAGGACTTCAGGGGAAATCTTCTCCATCCCCACACCAATCACCACTCTCTTCTGCCCTATGCAACTTCAGCAGGATGTTTTAACACATCTTCCTGGGACTCATACCCTCCTGGGCCTAATAGGGCAATAACTATAGACCAGGCCCGGCTGGAAGCCCAAGGGTCTTGTCTACCACAGGATAGGGAAACCAATCCCCTACCGGTAAAATTATGAAAAGCTAGCACCTACCCTTCTATGTCTTCCTCAGGAACAACCAAGACTGATGATGACAAAGGCGCAGGAGTGGTGGGAAGAAGAAAGGCCTCTTCAAAATGGCCACCTTGTCTTTGATCACTTTCCAAACTGGCCACCAGCCACGAGATCCTCACAAAATGGCTGCTTCTGGCCACGGGGCTCCTTTCTTCGTCCCCAGGGAGTTACTCTGCAGAGGCAGAGGAGCTTCCAAAAGGCAGACTCTTACTATGCCTGCTTCACCATGGGGATTGGGATAGCCCCACAGCTCTGTAAAGAGTGTGGCTGATGCCCACACTCACCAAAACGGCCACCTGACCGAAGCTTAGCCTTCTCTTTGCCACGGACAGCCCAAAGCGGCCCTGTGGCTTTGTAGCGAGGGCGGAAGCTGCTGCCCTCGACGAACGGCCCTCCAGCTGATCGATTCCTTCCTCTTTGCCCCGGAGGGCTGAAATGGACGCCTGCAGCCCCTGCAGGCTGCTCCGGAACTCTGGAGCAGTCCTCAGCTATTTGATGCTCCAGAGACCTCAGCTGAGAAGAGGAGCGACAAATTTAAAAGGAAAGGGCAAATGGAGGCTTTTTTCCCTTTAAAATACAAGAAGAAATTTTTCCTTTGCAAAGCTGTCTTTGGTCACAAAAAATACCCAAAGGCAGGAGAGGCAATACTCTGTGTCTTACTCTGCTAAAGACTGAGTAGAAACTGGGAGGGGCTACCTGGAGTGGGAGGAGCTAGGCTAATAAGGCTTTTGCACAGACTCGGTCCTAAAGAGCTAAAGGAGAGTATCACCCATCCTGACCTGCTGCAGCCTTACAAGGGAAAAACTCTGGGCCACTCTCACAGAGGTGTAGCTATTCCTTACATGCTTTTTGACTGTATGTTTTGGAAATAATTTGACGCAGATTCTTTTTGCTTTGGCCAAAATAAAAAGCTAAATACTTTTGCAAGCCTCATCTCGAGTCTCACTCTGTTTGGTATTTCGGTGGCTTAGGAAATGCCTGGGACCTTACATAATAAATATTTAACAACTATCATTCTATGAAAAAGCTAATGCTGCCACAGTCTTATCAGATTACATCACTCACAACTTAATTTAAATGTACCATATAGTTCCAGTCTCTGAATTTATTAGCTGACATTTTTAGTAATAAAGCTCCATCTAGTGGTTATATTCAATAATGGAGTGAAATGGTATTCGGGCACTAGTAAATAAGCTACCAAATTTGATACACTAAGGCAGAGTTGTGGTATATGGCTATAGTTAAGCACAATAAAGAAAAACAATAAAATCACAACACAGTATAAGCTATAGCACATCACGATAATATAATGCTTAATTTTAAAATTTTAGTTAATCTCAGCACAATCATAATTTAATCAGTATATAATTAATTTAAAAAATGAGTCAATTACATGTTAGCAACAATGGGGTGGTCATTGACCTGGAGCCAGACATCCTGGAATGTGAAGTCAAAAGGGCCTTAGGAAGTCTGAGCAACAACAATGCTAGTAGAGGTTACAGTGTTCCAGCTGAGCTATTCAAAATCTTGAAAGACGATGCAGTAAAAGTGCTACACTCAATTTGCCAGCAAATTTGGAAAACTCGACAGTGACCAACAGAATTGGAAAAGGTAAATTTACATTCCAATGCCAAAGAATGTTCAAACTACCACACCATTGCACTCATTTCACATGCTAGCAAAGTTATGCTCAAAATCCTACAAGCTAGGCTCCAGCAGTATGTGGACCGAGAACTACCAGAAGTACAGGCAGGATTTCGAAGAGGCAGAGGAACTAGAGTACAAATTGCCAACATATGCTGGATTATGGAGAAAGCTAGGCAGTTCCAGAAAAACATCTACTTCTGCTTCATTGACTATGCTAAAGCCATTGATAGTGTGGATCATAACAAATTGTGGCAAGTTCTTAGAGATGGGAGTACCAGACCATCTTATTTGTCTCTTGAGAAACCTGTATGTGGGTCAAGAAGCAACAGTGAGAACTGGACACAGAACACTGATTGGTTCAAAATTGAGAAAGGAGTTCGGCAAGGCTGTATAATGTCGCCAGCCTATTTAACTTATATGCAGAGCACATCATGAGAAAGGCGGGGCTAGATGAATCACAAGCTGGATTTAAGATTGCTGGGAGAAATACCAACAACCTCAGATATGCAGATGATACCACTCTAATGGCAGAAAGTGAAGAGGAACTAAAGAGCCTCTTGATGCAGGTGAAAGAGAGTACAAAAGTTGGTTTGAAACTCAACATTAAGAAAACTAAGATCATGGCATCTGGCCCTCTCAATTCCTGGCAAATAGATGGGGAAGAAATGGAGGAAGTGACAGATTTTATTTTCCTGGCTCCAAGATCACCACAGATGGGGACTACAGCCAATAAATTAAAAGACACTTGCTCCTGGGGAGGAAAGCTATGGCAAATCTAGACAGCATACTAAAAAGCAGAGACATCATCCTGCCAACAAAAGTGCATATAGTCACAACTATGGTTTTCCCAGTTTCAATGTATTGTTTGTGAAAGTGGGACCATAAGGAAGGCTGAGCCCCAAAGAATTGAGGCCTTTGAATTATGGTGCTGGAGAAGACTCCTGCAAGGCCCTTGGACTGCAAGGCGATCAAACTGGTCAGTCGTAGAGGAGATTAACTTTGACTGCTCTTTAGAAGGCCAGATCCTGAAGATGAAACTTAAATATTTTGGCTACCTAATGAGAGGGAGCAACTTAGCGGAGAAGAGCCTAACGCTGGGAACAATCGAGGGCAAAAGAAGAAGGGGATGGCAGAGAATGAGGTGGCTGGATGGAGTCACTGAAGCAGTCAGCATGAGCTTAAATGGACTCAGGGGATTGTAGAGGACAGGAAGGCCTGGAGGAACGTTGTCCATGGGATTGTGATGGGTCGGACACAACTTAGTGACTAACTACAACAACAACAACTAGTTTTTATGTTTCCTAGTGCTGTGTTACTTACCCTAGTGCTTTTTAAACTAAAAGACTTCGTTTTCAATGATTAATAAAAATGTAGAACTTTTTATATTATTGGAGACCAAAGGAAATAGTAGTTCCGCACACCATAGTTTAAAAAAATCTAGTAAATGCCATCAGTGTGATGCATAGTTAAGGAGGCGGACTAGGCAACAATAGACCAGATTCTCAATAAGTGATATTAGGTTAGTCACTCCCCCTTAGCCCAACCCAACACAGTGGATTGTTTTATGGGGGGAAAAAAGAAGGAAATCTTAAGCTGATGAAAAAAAGACAGAATAGATTACATATATAATAAAACTTTTCTTCTTAAATGGGGTTCTTGACACTTATGAGGAACTTAAAATTACAGGAGAACTAATCATAATCAATTTGTTTCCACATTTCAGAGGCATAAGAGAATATAACCTGACACATAATTAATCAAAAGCTCTGGAAAGACTGGGAGATTAATTAGGCCAATGGATATGTCAAGCTGGGACTTGGATGGCAGCAATGAGAAGGTAGATAACGCAGACTTGGAAAAATCAACGATTTTAGAATTTGGTTCTGCCAAAATGTAGTTGGTTCAAAACAGATTAGCAAAATTTCTGGAACTCAATGATTTTCACCTAGATTGGAGGTAGTTTGGTGTAGTGGTTAAGACATAAGGCCAGAAATGGGAAGATATGAGTTCTAGTTCCACATCAGTCATGAAGCCAATTGTGTGACATTGGGCCAGTCACTCTTTCTCAGCCCCTCGGAAGAAAGCAAGCCACTTCTGAAATTTTGCCAAGAAAACTAGAGATTTCTCTAGTCAGTCACCAGGAGTCAACACTGAATCAAACAAACAAACAAATCACAGCAGAACATCTATCTCATACATATTCCAACATTTGAAGTAGAATACTACTGTCTAACTTCACTTTAATCAAAGAGAAAACATCCCTGTGGAAGAAATGCAATTAAGTAAGACTGGCAAATTCCATTAAAAGTAAAGTGTGGCTCCTAGGATTTTTCCATTTCAAAAGAATGAAATAATCTTAGCTTCTGATGGAACTCACCTTCAACCCCCCTCCCCCCCAAAAAAACCCTGTTCCTAATTCACTCCCTTCTGAACACAGCATACAACTTAATACTAGGCTTTGGTATGACTCTTCACTCCAAACACCCCCTAACATGCCTATCTACAAAGCCATCTAAACAAGGTTCTTTTCAAAATTCCCTACAGTTTCATTATCTACAACAATTTCACCTGTCATACCTGGGTGAAATATTTTCCATCAGGTTTCAAGACTCTCATTGAAAGGTCCAGAATCATTCGTAGAAACTCCCATGTGGAATCTAAATTTAAACATACTAATTGTTTAATTAGGAATTGAATAATTCATAAATGTTAAGTGATGAGAACAACTACAATTTGCAACATCATTGGATTCATGTTTGATTTTTTAGGATACTCTGTAAATAAAAAGGCATGGAACTTCCTTTAAACATTTTTTTATAAATATAGGACAATTATTTAGAAAACAATTTCCAGCATTGCAGAAAATCTATCAATTATCTGTAGATGTGAGGGCCAATAATGCTTGTCTCCATTTTCCTCCACACCCCTAATATGCACAACTTATAAAATTATACTTTACATACCCACTTACTTGTTCTCTCTCTATTCTTCAGATGTACAGTAAATTACTTAACTACAAAAGAGATTTTCAGAAAAAACCGATTGACAATAAACTTTGCAGGGGAATGCATAACAGCATTTTGCAAAAGAACACAATAGCATCCCACCAAAGATTTGGATAGTCTCAATCATGCTAGGTTTTTATAAGGTATTATGGACGTGACTGTTTCCCAGATGTTTGGACCAGATAATTAGTCACGTTCTGCTGGTTAAAGCTGCTTGTTTTGAACTGGTCTTTATTTTTGATTTTGGTCACTATATTTGATCCGGATAAATAGCCCCAAGCCAATCAGGTGGCAGGCAGAAGCAACATGCAATTGCCAATCGCAGGGGCTGGGGGGAGCAGCGTGCGATGCAAGATTTTTTAAAAAAACTGCAGCTCCTTAACCCTAACCCTAGCAGATCTGTCACCAGGAGACCAGGAAGCGTGGGAGGGGCAACTTATGGGGGCTTCATAAAGACACAACTCAGTCAGCCCCAACAAAAGAAGGGAGGAAGAGCAAGGCTGGCACAGCATCTGGCATTGAGGGGGGATGGCTGGAAGGCATGGCAGGTGAACAGCAAGGCTGGCGCAGTTTCTGTGATTGCAGGGGCATGGGGGAATGCAAGCAGACGGCAAGGCTGGTGTGGTTTCTTCAATTGCAGTGAGTGTGGGGGGCAGGGCCGCAGGTGAATGGCAAGGTGGGCATGTCTTATGTGATTGCAGGGAGGCTGGGGTGGTGGTGGTCGTCAGGTGAATAAAGGTGGCATGCGGCTTGGGGGAGCCCCGCCACTGCCACTACGGCCTGATGCCTAACAGCCAATTCAGCTGTCCCCAAGCCATGTGCTCATCTGCCTTGTCTCCTCAGCTTCCTGCAATCATGTAAGCATGCCACCCTTGCTGTTCGGCCCCCATGCCCACTTCAATTGCAGAAGCCGTGCCAGCCTTGCTGTTCTCCTACTGCGCCCCCTCATAGCTGCCCCCCACAACACCAAAAGCCACACCGGCCTTGTTCCTCTTCCCCTTTCTTTGGAGCTGAGTTGCAAGCCAAGCTGCCTTTGTGAAACCCCCTTGATGAACGCCTTCCTCCATTCCTACTCCCCCAACACACTCTTGCCTGCCTGCCCCCCCCCCCAGTGAGCCCAGCGCTGCTATTCCCACCACTATTCCCACTCCTGGAAAATCCTGTGGAAAATGGCTGTGGAAAATCCAGCGGAGGAGGAAAGCTGGCTGTAAATAGGCTGAGGCAGGTGGCTGGGACCAAAGGAGGTGCAGCCAAGGGTCCATGCCTAAATGTCCCATTCTGTCCTTCTACATTACACACAAACCACTGTTGTGAGGTGTCTGATCCTCCCTTCAGATTTTTCACTAGAACCTGTGGAGGCTGGAGTAAGTCTGTAGAAAGTAGATTTGCATGAATGGACAATTTTCTTCCTCAATCTGAGCTTTTCACATATTCAGACAAATGCCCCAAAGATATTATTTTTTTATAGGAAAATAAAGCAGAAATACAATAAAAGTTTTTTAAAATAACCTTCTTCTGGAGATGTGGAGATTGGAACAGCTGTCAAATCATTAATTACATAATCAAACATTCTTTCTTCTTTGGCATATCTCTTCAGGACTGGGATACAATCTTCTATTAGTACCTAAAAAAGTAGTAACATTTTGTCTACTTAACATAATAATGATGCCCATAAGGTTACTAACTAGCACTTTCTGTAGTGGTCATGATGAACGGAGTAACCCAACTCTTTATCAATTCAACTGTTCTATCACTCAAAAGATCATGAACTATCCATATAAGGCCTCTTATAGATCTACATTGTTCAGAGATTGCTATTCGTTCTCTATAATTAAGACAGTTCAAGTTAGAAATTGAACATGGTATTTCTTGCATGCAAAGATGTGCTCTAATATTGATTTAAGGATCTCTTGCTGGAGTTTGAACAGAGAAATCATGATGTAAACACCATTCTTTTCTACTCTCATAACTCATAGAAAGGACAAGCCAAAAGACAGGATTTTGGAACAGAGGAGGCAGCTACACTCTGCTAGGCTACTCAAATGGGCAATGACCACAATCTTTTCTTTAAACAGCATTCCAGTCACCTATAAATAGCATGACTTGTCTTCTTTGTTGTGTCAACTGTTCAACATCTGCTTCTTTTGCATCTGAACAGTCTTGGATCACTATAATACTGATTGGTTTGCCATTTCTTTTCTCCATGGATTGCGTTTAATCTGGTAAATCTCTGCTCTGCTCATTGTAAGCTAGTTAATGAGGTGCTGCATGACCACCTGTACAAAGGGGTCCTAGTGTACCTTGTGACATCCTAATTTACATGGAGACAATGGAGGAGCACATAAAATTAATATGCCAGGTCCTCAAGAAACTCTCGGGGGCAAACCTATATGCTGAACTGTCTAAATGAGAGTTTCACAAGTCCTGTCTGGACTACCAAGTGTATGCAAAGGAATAGAGGTGGACCTGGAGAAAGTGAAAGCCATATTAGAGTGGCAAGTCCCTTGAACGGCAAGCAGTTACAGAGCTTCCTGGGGTTTGCGAACTTTTATTGGCAATTTATTGCCTCCTTCATGAAAAGTGCCCTGCTGATCACCAAGCTGTTAAAGATGGGAGGAGGGGGAGAAAAATCTTGACCAAGCCAGCCATTGAACTGGCCAATGGAGTGCCAGAAGGCTTTCAAAGACTTAAAAAGACTGTTTGCAGAGGAGCCGATCCTAAAACACCATAACCCCAAGGAGCCGTTCATTAACCAAGCTGATGCCAGGGATGTGGCGGTTGGAGCCAGTACTCCTCCAGAAAATCAGAGAAGGGAAGTTTCAACCATGCGCTTACACTCCCCCAAAATCACCAAGACAAAGAGGCACTGGGCAGTGTGGAAAAAGGAAGCTTTCTCTGAGAGGTGGGCATTACTTACTTGGTGGCAACTCCTTGAAGGAAGTTAAGTACCTTTCAAAGTGTGAACGGACCATAAAAACTTGGAAGCACTGAGAACCCACTGAAAGCTCTCCCTGAAACAAGTCCAGTGGGCACGATACTTTGAGTTGACTTTGAATTGAAGTACATCCCAGGGGGGAAGAACTTTGTAGCTGCATGCCATAGTACAAGAGCAATCAAGTAGTAGTAAATGCCATCACCCCTCCAAAATAACGAGCAGCACAGGGGACCACAAGGCAGCAGGCAAAAAAAAAAAAAGATTGCCAGACCTCCACTGACTCAACAGATAAAAAAGGAATTACAGTCTGATAGCCAATTTGGAGGCCATGGAAGTAAACTAACATTGAGAGAAAGGATGGCATGGAAGGGGGACAAACTATGTTCCCAAGAGCCAAGCCTTGCAACAAAGCTATGACACCAAGCAAGCTAGCCACCTTAGATTCTTAAAAACTTTGCATTTAGTTAAGAGACAGTTCTGGTGGCCAGGGATAAAGAGGACAGAGTGTGAGGTGGGATTCAGCCGGTTCTCAATGGTTCGGCTGAACACCTTAACTTTTTGCACAGTTCGGGGAACCAGCTAATCCCACCACTGGCTGGCTCCACCCGCCCTGCCCCTCCCAGCCACTCATCTTGCCTCACCTGCTCACCTAGTCATGCCTGTGGACCAGCTTCTCTCTGGCTGCTCTCTGGCTTCCTCGCTCACTTGCCTTCATTGCTCATCCATGTCCACACTGCACACGCAGCCCAGGCCCAGCTGGTCTCCCTCCTCGCCTGAACCATGCAGCAGCAGGGCCCAACTGCTTTCCACTCCTACCCTCTCTCTTCTTCCCGTTCTGACCTAGGCTTCCCCAACAGCACAAAGCTGAATCCTCGTCCTGATAAACCCTTTTTATTTAGTTTACAGTGAATTCCTCTCCAGCAAAGTCCCAGCCAACAGTCTTTCAAGATATTTCATAATTAAAGACCTTTATCAGGCTTGGAGAGTTGCCAGGACAATATCTTTCAGATGCTACACTGTAACAGACAATACTTGGCAAGAATGCAGAAACAGATCTTCACCCAAATGAACTAATTGTCTCCTGCAAAACCTCACTCCCCTTTTGTTCCTATTTTATTCCCTATGGGAGAGACCGTTCACCATCCACCTATGGCTTTACTCCCAAGTCGACCCTTGTTCCTTAGCCATTCCCTTCTTCTGGCAGCTCTGTGCATGCGCACACTGGGAACAGGCTTCAGCTGTTCTTCTGCCTCACTGATGTCCAACTCCAAAGGCAGGTGATAACTGTCAGAGGGCCCTGGCCCCACCTCTGCCTCCGATGCAGAGCACTCGTCAGAGCCTTCCCCAGACTCCAGGACTGGCCCATCTTCCTCCCCAACCTCCTCACTGTCCGAATCTGCTGCCAGCTCTGCTGGCCACTGGCAGGCCACAACATCCCCGGCCAGTCGGCCTCTCTCCCCCTTTTCTACCTTCCTGGAATAGCCGCATGACAATGCGAAAGACAAGGCCCTCCTGGACAGCCATCTCACTCGCACACCTGGCTTCGCATCCTTCTGGCACAGGGAAGCAGTTGAAGCGGCTCCATGGTGACCCCTGGGAGCTGCAGTGGGAACGGCTGCCAGTCAGAGAGCAGCTCCGGGAACAGGAGCCTGCAGCGTCAGCAGGCCGGTGGCCAGTGGCGAAAAGGTCCTGGCACCTTAGTGATGGCCTATCTACCCTGTTTCTCCAACAATATGGCCTCCCCCAATAGGAAGTCCCAGCATGTTTTATAGGCATGAAATGAAATTAAGCCCCTCCCCCCAAATTAAGGCCTATATTAAAACATGCGAAATGGGGGAAATGGTGGGGGGGGCTTGCCGTTAGGAAGCACTTTTGTTGCACACCCGGATATGGTGCTGCCTGCGTTGACCCCGATACGAAGTGCCCCACCAACGCCAAAGTCAACATCCAAGCAGTCGCCGCCCGCCCGAAGAGGCAAGGGGGGGGAATTAAGTCACCCCCGAAAAGACGGCCTAGCCATTTTTTCAGGGCTCAAAATAAAAATAAAAAAAAAGACCCAGGCTTATTATATGAGAAACACGGTAGTCAATGTGATCTTGATAGCCAGGTGAGCGTGCGCTGGCGCATTCTTGGCAGGTGGGTGGGCTCAGCTTCAGGGTGTGGAAGCTGAGGGTGTGGAAGGAGGCATGTGTTGGGCTACTTCTTCACAGAGAAACCTTGTGGCCCTCTGCCTCCCCTGGTCAGGAAAGAAAAGCAGGAGCCTCTCTCTCAATCTCCTACCTCGCCATGTGACATTGTGAAATGTGAGGCCCTCCTGGATGGCCACCTTGCTCACATGTCCCAGGAGGCAGAGCACTCTCTTGCGCCACCTCAGGAGGCAGGATGCTCTCTCGCCCTGTCCAGGCAGGCAGGATGTTCTCTCATGCCATCCCAAGAGGCAGAACAGTGTCCCACACCATCCCGGGAGCAGAACGCTCTCCCATCCCATCCCGTGAGTGTTCTGCATCCCAGGAGGAAGGGCGCTCTCTCATACCTCCCAGGAGGTAGGGCGCTTTCTTGCTCATCCTGGGAGGCAGGCCAGGGCTGTTGCTGGCCCAGGAAGACTCCAAGGATGCTGTTTCCACTACCTCCTCCGCAGGGGCTATCGGCCTAGGCAAACTCTTGCACAAGCTGAAGCAGCTGCTAGACAGCATCGAAATCAACTGTTACAACTGCCTGGCCAGGCGGTTACTTTCGGGGATTTTGGCCCTGGGATGGGAGAAGAAGGGAGGAGAATGGTGGCCGGAGGGCTGGGAAAGAAAAAAAGGCAAAAGGCAGGCATTTCGTGTCTGTCTGTGTTTCTTCCTCCCTCCCCCTCCCCCATTCTTGTGCTGTTATGATCAGTGATCACTGCTGCTTTTTATACACAAAGTATGCCTCAGAGAATGCCAATTCATCCTAAATAAATACGGCCTTTATTTGCTTCTCTGGCTGGCAGGAATCTTTTCAGCAAAACACAGGTTTCCAAGCCCATTGCAGAAAGATGGAGGTTGAGGTGGGAAGGAAAGGGAGGCTGCTCTCTCTCTCTCCCTCTCTGGCCCGGAGCACTCCAACAGAGCTTTGTGACTGAAATTTGTGTTGGAGACTGAGGGCAAAGGCAAGGTCTTTGGGGGTGGAGAGAGACCCGTGATATTTCTCGCCACAGTTGTTTGCAAGTTTGATAGCCAGATTAATTCATGAAATAAGAATGAGGACAATGACGGGTGTCATTTCCCCTTCTTCCCTATCCCCTCCCCTCTCCCCCGCCCCAACCTCTACCTTTCTGCAATGGACTTTGCTGAAAAGATTCCTGCCGGAGAAGCAAATAAAGGCCGTATTTATTTAGGATGAATTGGCATTCTGAGGCATACTTTGTAGGTTGTTTCTGTTGTTGCTCTGGTGTGCGTGTATGCATAAAAGGCAACACTGACACTGATCATAGTAGCACTAGAACAGGCACCAAGGACCAGATTCATGGAAGCAGGGATTTATCACAGTTGATAGAACCCAAGGGATAGATCAGTGTCTCTCAGCTGAAAGATTTATGGACTTTAACTCTCAGAATTCCCCAGACAGCCATCAAGGAGTTTCCACAGAAGGTCGTGGAGAATACTAGAGCTAAGAATCTATGGGAGTTCCAAATCCAGAAAGACAGGCAGGAATTAGATAATCAACCAGACACTAGTGGTAGCAGATAAATTATTAGACAAAGACCATAAGAACTCGGGAGGTCAGGCAAGCAGAACGAGGCAAGGTGCCCCTCGACGTGAGTGATGTCAATTTGGATATGCCTACCTAGCCACGCCTACCCCAGCTGGTCATTAGGGTAGAGAACTGATTGTTAAATTATTTGAATCACACTACTCCACAGAGAGCTATGTGAAAAGTTGCCTGGTGTGTGCGGCAATGAAAAAAACACCAGGGAAGAGCCCAGGCTTACTGCAACGTGACAGAGCCACTCCACCCTGGAAAGATATCACGATGGACTTCATAGTCGAGCTCCTAGAGAGTGGGGGAAACACTGTGATTTGGACAGTAATAGACTTGTTTTCCAAGCAAGCTCACTTTATCACCTGCTCGAGCCTCCCACCTCCCAGAGACTGGCTAAAATGTTTCTTCAACACATTTGCTAATTGCACAGGGTGCTGAAGCATATCATCTCGGACCAGGGGGTCCAATTCACCACTAAGTTCTGGAGGGAGTTTGTAAAACTAATAGGATCCTCCCAAGGGCTTAGCTCGGTATTTCACCTGAACACGAATGGTGCCACGAAATGAGTGAATGCGATGATGGGACAATACCTGTGTTGCTATGTCAACTATTAGCAATCTAACTGGGCAGACCTTTTACTATTTGTTGAGGTTGCCTACAATAATGCAGTGCATAGCAGCATGGGACTCATCCCTTTTAAAGTAGCTACAGGGGTAGACTTCATGCCTATGCTAGAGTACCCTAAGGAACCCCTTTGTCAGTAAGTTTGACAGAGTTTGTGGGTTCCCTCCAAAATGCCTGGGGTAATGTAAAGCAAACCCTAGCAAAAGCAACCAAAAGTCAGAAGGTTCAGATGCACTCACTCCAGAAATCATTCCATATGGAGAGAAAGTATATTTGTCTACCAAGTATCTAAAGTTGAAACTACTTTGCAAGGAGCTGGGTTCAAAGTATATAGGATCCTTCCCCATAGTAAAGGTCATAAACCAAGTCACAATAAAGATAAAACTACCCCACTTATTAGGAAAAGTGCATCCTGTGTTCCACTGTAGTCTGCTTAAGCCAGTAGTAAAATCTGAGCTAAGACTAGTGGCTAGAATTGGCCCAGGTCCAATCATTGGGGGGGGGGAGGAGAGAGGGAAAAACACTATGAAGTTAAATCAATTCTGGACTCCAGACTATTCAAGGGGAAAACTCCAATATTTAGTCCAGTGGAAGGGGTATCCAATGTCAAAAGCCAGATGTGTAAAAGCTCAGAACATGAGGACAGATAGATTAGTAGAGAAATTCCATGAGAAATATCCCCAGAAGCCAAGGACTCCTTCCTAGAAGTCAAGGAAACCCTGAAGTAACTAACATGTGTACTTAATATTTTGCAGGTGCTTCCCACTTTCTAGGGGGTCCGAATGTCAAACTTAGAAACTGGAAGCAGGAAACTTGCTGTCGCAGCCATCTTTTCATTTATCAGCTTGCCAGACTATTGGAGGGGGTGGGGTGGGGGAGGTTTAGAATGCCAGCCCAGACAACAAGAAATCATTCTGTGGGAACCAAGATCATCTCAACAGATGTTTGGCAAGAGCCTGAAGGAGTTGCCATAGTGTCAACCAGAACACCTAATTGGACAATGTGACCTGGTCAAAGAAGGGGAGGAAAGAATTCACTCTTTAATTAGCTGAAAACCCCAGGAACTAGTTAGAGTTGGTTTTGCTTCATGCATGCTGAAATGATGTATTCAATAAAGTTATGCTTAAAGAGATCTGATCATCTCGAATTGCTGGCTTGGTTGGGTTCATCAGTAGGAACTTTGACACATACAGCCATAAAACATGACAGACAAGAATAAATATATCTTGTTATTATTAGTAACAAAACATCAATGTTTCAATCAAAGCATCTCCTATTCCAAAAATATTTCATTTATCATTCACTCATTTACAAGATTTAAAAGTCACTAATGCTGAACAGCATACTATTCCCTTTGCTCCCCCACAACAAAGTGGCAATTGAAATCAAACCAAAAAACTCAGTGGTTTCAACCTTCTGCATATTTAAAATAGTACTAGCTGTATTAAATTAGAGTTATCTCTATTTTAAGGACATCCTGCAATTATATACAATTCGTACCATTACCTCATATCACTACTAGTATTGATAATAGAACAAAAATACTGACAAAATTGGCTTTAGATATTAAAAGCAAAGAGTATAACATATAATTGAACTTATTTCTATGTACCAGAAACAAACTTTTATGAGAAAATTAGATACTAGTATAAATAAAATATATACCTGATAGCATTCTCCTTTTAGATTGTCCAAGACATCTCCACATGTTTTACGCATATATTTTCGACACCCATCAATCACCATTTCGTCAATGTTTTTGATACTAATAAGAATGAAATAACTCATTTTGTTTTATTATAACATTCTTCATAATGTTCTTTGTTTCTGTCTTGAAAAGTCTAAATTGTATAATGAACATACCACTAAAACATTAATAAGTTGACAGTTTCCTAGAGCCAAATAAATCAGGGGTGTCAAACTCGATTTCATCTAGGGCCTGATCAGCATTGCACTTCTCTGTGGGCTGGGCAGGGGGGGTAGGGGAAGACTGGACAGACAACTCCTGAAGCACCCTGCTGGTCCCCCCATGCCTCGTTTTCAGCCTGGATGGCCTCCTGCGGCAAGCTGCTGGCCAAAACAGGGTGAAGTTTTGGCTGGCAGGGTGTTGAAGAAGGCCGCCCAGGCTGAAAACGGGGCACGAGGGAGCTGTGTGCACCCCCAAGCTCCATTTTGGCCAGCAGAGTGCTGAAGGCAGTCCAAAATGAAAAGGGGGCACGGGGAGCCATGTGCGGTCTCCCCAACCTTCTTTGGCTGCTAGAGGCACTACAGGTCAATCCTTTGCTAATTCCAGGCCGGCCCTGTGAGCCAGTTTTAAGAACCCCATGGGCTTAATCCAGCCCGCGGGCCTTGAATTTGACACCCCTAAAATAAATTAAAATGGGCGTTGGTCTTACCTGACACACCATTTCTAGTCGAGCTGCGAGGATCATCCAGAGAGTGGGAGGTGCTCCAGTCTGCGTCTGTGTAGGCTGGGCTTAATCATTAGGGAACGCTCCGCCCTCTGTCACATGGTCCCTTGTAGCCTCCCAGTTTATGCGAAGTCGAGAGAGGAGGAAAGTCGTCTAACTCTCATCTAACTAGACCTAAAGTATCATTGGCTGAAACAAGGTTCCCCCAGACGGAAAAAATTAAAAAGGGTGGGGCTGGATGATCCTCGCAGCTCGACTAGAAATGGCGTGTCAGGTAAGACCAACGCCCATTCTCCCTCGAGCTGCTCGGATCATCCAGAGAGTGGGACATACCAAAGCTTGGCTGTCCTACGGGAGGGAATCTGTCTGGGGTGGAAGCTCCCCTGGGTCCTCGATGACCCGCTGGAGGACTCGTCTACCAAACGAGGCCTCAGCTGACGCAAAGATGTCAATCTTATAGTGCCTAATGAAAGGGGAGGGGGAAGTCCAAGTGGCGGCCCGACAGATGTCTGAGATTGGAGCCTGGGTGGCCCAGGCCGCAGAGGTGGCCGCACTCCTGGTGGAATGCGCCGTAACCCCACTGGGAACTGGCAAGGCCTGAGACGAATAAGCCTTGGCGATGATGGCTCTGATCCATCGCCCGATGGTGGAAGGGGACACCTTGTGGCCTAAGGACTTGGGCTGGAAGGAGAGAAATAAAGACTCTGACCTTCTAAAGTGTTGTGTGCAGTTAATGTATATGCGGAGGGCCCGCCTGACATCTAGGGTGTGCCATCGTTTCTCCCTTTCCCGCGAAGGATTGGGACAAAAGTTTGGGAGTGTAAGCTCCTGAGCCCTGTGGAAGGCTGAATTGACCTTGGGCAAGAAGGTCGGGTTGGGGCGTAGAACCACCCGATCGGAATGGAAGATACAGAGGTCCTTTCTCACCGAAAGGGCAGCAATCTCCGAAATTCGGCGAGCCGAGGTAATTGCCACCAGGAATACTACCTTAAAGGTCAAAATTTGGAGAGAGGATTCTCTAATGGGTTCGAAAGGAGGTCTGGTGAGGGCCACCAGGACCTTGTTAAGGTCCCAAGTGGGGTACCGGTGCACAACAGGGGGACGGAGGTTAGTAGCCCCCCTTAGGAAGGCCCTGATACGGGGATGGTGAGAGAGGGGACCCAGATTGTCGCCGGAGACGACAGTTGAGAGGGCCGCTACCTGGCGTCTCAGGGTATTAGGTGAGAGACCTTTTTTGAGCCCATCCTGGAGAAAATTCAGAATCTGGGCCACCGAAGGCAAGAGCGGGTTGACCATGGATGAATGGCACCACCTGCAGAAGCTGACCCAGGTGGCATCGTATATCCGATTGGTTGAAGGCCGTCTGGCGGCCAGGATCGTGTTAATGACCTGGTCAGATAAATTCTCCTTCCTCAACTTTTCCCGCTCAACCTCCACACGGTTAGTTGGAGCCATTGGGGCTCCGGATGTTGAATGGGCCCCTGAGACAGGGAGATCCTGTCCGGAGGGATTCTCCACGGGGGAGACACCGAGAGGTTGCGGAGGTCTGCAAACCATGGTCGCCTGGGCCAATAGGGGGCCACCAAAATCAGATCTGCCTTCTCCTGGATCAGTTTCTGAATGACCCTGGAAAGCAAAGCTAATGGGGGGAAGGCATACAGGAGTCCGGGGGGCCACGGACAGCGAAGTGCGTCGTGATTCTCGGCCCCGGGGGAAGGGAATCTGGAGAAGAACCGAGGGAGCTGGGTGTTGCAGGGGGATGCAAAGAGGTCCACTAATGGGAGACCGAAGATCATGGTCGCCTCCCTGAAAAGGGATGGATGAATGCGCCACTCGGACTGGTCCACGGTGGCCCTGCTTAACCAGTCCGCTCGGGTGTTTGAGGCCCCCGAAATGTGTTCTGCTTTGATCGAGAGGAGGTGACGCTCTGCCCAACGGCAGAGTCTCTCGGCCTCTCTCATCAACCGAATAGACTGGGTCCCGCCTTGCCTGTTGACATGGGCCTTGGCGGTAACGTTGTCCGTGAGAATAAGGACGTGCCGCCCGCGTACCTGAGGCAGGAAGTGGCGCAGGGCCAGGTGGATGGCGTGGAGCTCCAGCCAGTTTATGCTGCAGGCCCGCTCTGCATGGGACCATTTGCCCTGTGTTGTAAGGGACTGGAAGTGAGCGCCCCAGCTGCTCAGGCTGGCGTCTGTGGTGATGACGAGATGCTGGGGATCTTTGAAGAGATGACCCCTGTTGATGGCAGGGTTGATCCACCAGAGGAGAGACGAGAGGACCTTTGGAGGTACCTTGATGGAGGATTTTGAGTTGCTTCTGCCGGACCTTTGAAACGGAAGCAGGAGCCACTGCAGGGACCTGGTATGAAGACGGGCCCAAGGAATAATAGAGATGCATGAAACCATTTTTCCCAGTAATTTAGATAAATCTAACAGAGAAGCCCTCTTTGATCGGCGAATAACCTGAATTGAATTTCGAATACTCTGGAGCCTTTCCGGGGAAAGGAACACTTTTTCCTGCACCGTGTCAATGATGGCCCCCAAGTGGGCAATTTGGGTAGAAGGGACCAGTTGGCTCTTTTTTTGGTTGACCAGGAAACCATGGGCGTGGAGGGCGGAGAGAGTAGTCTTGGTGTCCAGCTCTGCTTGGGATTGTGAATGGGACAGGATGAGGATATCATCCAGATAGCAGTGGAGACGGACTGGGCAGTCCCTTAAGCGAGCTGCCAGGGCCGCGAGGATCTTAGTGAAAACTCTGGGAGCGGAGGCTAACCCAAAGGGAAGGGCCACATACTGAAAATGGTGGTGATTGTAACAGAATCTAAGGAATTTAGAGTGCGAAGGCCGAATTGGGATGTGGAGGTATGCCTCAGAGAGGTCTATAGAAGATAGCCAATCTCCTTGCCTGGTACCCTGCAAAATGGATTGGAGGGTGTGCATTTTGAATTTGCGGGGGTTTAGGAAGCGGTTGAGCCGTTTGAGGTCCAGGATAGCCCTCCATCCCCCCGAGGACTTGGGAACCACGAAGAGGTGGGAATAGAAACCCTGCCCTCGCTGAGAGGGGGGAACTGGCTGGATGGCCTGGATGGAGAGTAAGTGATGGATGGCCGCATCCATTAATTTGCGTTTGGAGGGGTCCCTAGAGGGGGGAGATGACATGAAGAACTCGGGAGGTTGAGAGTTGAACTCCAGAGCGAGTCCAAACCTGATGGAGTCCCTGACCCATTTGTCGGAAGTGGTAGAATCCCACAGGTCGGCGAAATGCCTCAGCCGACCACCAATGGGGGGAAAAAGACAGGATTCATTTGGAGCGCCGGAAGGGTCTCCCCCCGGAACCCCTGAAGGGACACTTAAATCCTCCGCCCCTCCTATTTCGATCGCTCGGGTCGGAACGATCCTGGGAATATGATGCTCTATACGAGGGAGGTCTCGGGTACCTGGGGGGGAAGGGGGACTGGTAGAAGGACCGGGAGGATCCTCTTCGAAAGGGCTGAGGGGCTCAGGAGTCAGGCCTCCGAAAAAGAGGAGGAAGGAATTTCTTCTTTCCCCTAGTTTCGGCCAAGAGAGGGTCCAGGGCCGGCCCAAAGAGCTTCTCCCCTTTAATGGGGGCGGAGGCCAGCTTGACCTTGTTCTTCACGTCCGCCTGCCATGGTTTGAGCCAGAGCAGGCGGCGGGCAGTGACCTGGGACGCTAACGCCCGGGAGGCGAATTTAACCGAATGGTACGTGGCGTCAGCTGAGAACTCTGCCGCCGCTGTGATTTTGGCTATGTCCTGCAGCGCCCGTGTATTGGATGGAGGGATGTGGGCCTTCAGTTGACGGAGCCACCGGATAGAGGACCTGGTAAAGAAGGAGGCTGCGGTGGCCGATCTAATTGCCCAGGCGTCGGCTAGATGAGCCCGCCGCAAGGCCAATTCAGACCTCCTATCCTCGGGTTTGAGGGCCTCCAGGGGGTCACTCGGGGAGGAGGAAGAGGCGAGACCAACAATGGGCTCGTCCACCTCCGGGGTATTGAGGAGGGAGCAGAAACCTGGTTCGAGGTTAAAGAACCTCTTATCCTGTGTGGATGGGGCCGGAGGAGCCCCCGTAAAACCCAGATCGTGGAAAATGGGAGGAGCGGGAATCACATCCTCGGCCACCATGGGCTGTTTGAACATTGCGTCCTCCGGTTCCTCCCCAGAGGAGTGGGGGACAGGGGGAAGTTGAGTGGCCAGGCCCGAGGTGTTCTTGGCCTTAAACAAGATGGACTTAAACATGTGGGGCTTGAATAACCCCACAAAGGAAGGCTGGTCGGGGGTAAGGCCCTCGTCCTCCGACAACTCTGCTTCCATCGGGTCTAAATCTGAAAAGGGTTCCCCATGGAAGGTGTATCCCCATTCAAGGTGCTCCTCCTCCTCCCTGTATTGGTCTAAAATTTCCATTCCCTCCTCCGGTTCCCTTTCTGGAAGAGGGCTGGCACCCCGGGAGGGTACCTGACCAGGAGCAGGGTCCAGGGTGGGCATGGACCTAGTTGGCACCGGTTCTTGCGCGGGAAGCGTCTGAGGAAGGCTTGATCCGGCCATCTGCTGCATGCCTTGAGCTATCCCGTCAAATAGCCTGCTCCATCCAAGTTCTCATGTACTCATGGCATCTCGATCGTGGGTGGGTCCTCCTGTCTCAGGCCAGCGGCCGTGGGAGTGAAGGTTGCTTCAGGCATCCGGCTGGTAGCTGGTCCAGGGTCGTGAGACTCCTGGGATGAGCTGTGCCTGGAGAGAGGGGAACAAACTGGAGGGGGGGGTGCCTGGAAGTAGAAGGGGCGGCTAGGGGTGATGGTTGAGTCACCCTAGAGCGCCTATCGAACTCCCTCTCTAGTGCCTTATGACGCCTTAAGGCGTCCCTTTGAGAGGCCTTAGAAGTCTCCTGGGAGGTTTCCTTAGCCTGTCTGCGCACATGATGGGACTTAGATTTCGCCTTCAAAGAATGGCGGGAGTTAGGGTTATCATCTGCCATGGTAAAACAACAGAAGTATCAAAATGAATATATAGAAATATATATATATATGTGTGTGTACAGGCGGTTGGCACGCCTAGGATACGACCTGGGTAAGGCCGGGTATCCAGAAACTGGCCCGCGCCCCCTTTTGGAATTTGCAATGAATAATCTGAAAATATGACCAAAAAAGGGGGAAAAAAATTTTTTTAAAATTTTTTTTTAATAAAAAAAAAAAAAACTGCCACAGATATAGACTTTTAATGTACAATTATATCCCACCAGGATAAGGATCCAGGAAAGCACACTGCAGCGACAGTGATGGAAGCTAGGTCTCTCTAAGCAAATCTGAGAGAGAAAAAATGCCAACTGAATGAGATTGGATTACCAATGTAAGGAAATATGAAGATATTCTGTATTAGACTGAATAACAACCTGGCAGTTGGTAAAAGGAAGAGAAGCCAATCAGCCAAATCAACGCCAGCAATACAAGGCCTCAGGCAGCTTGTCCCCGCTCAGGGAGGGAGTGGCTGCTTTTCTAATTCCCCACCCTGAGATCTGCTGCAGAAGCCAACACTTACACCAACAATTAACAGAGTAAAGAGTAAAGAACAGCTTTCTTTTTCCCCTCTGGGAGAGGGAGATAGAGAGATCAGCCCTACTAGGCCTGGGAGCCTAAGCCTAGGGCCAGCAGAACGTCGCAGCAATAGGAGGCCTGCAAAATGTCGCCCGGCCACGAGGCGGCGCCCAAAATGGCGGCCGCCTGGAAATCGAAAGTGAAAGGCAAAGCGGGCGGCTCAGGGTGGGTGCGTCCTGCAAGCCACGAGGGCGAGGACGCTGAAATTGGCGTTAGTGGGGGGAAAACCAGAATAAAAAAGGCTCCAGACCTTAGAAAGGCACCAGGACAGCAAGGCAGGAAAGAAGAAATAAACGGCAGAGAGTGGGGGGGTGGGGGTGGGTGGGTGGGGTGTTAGCGCTAAGCGCTGCTAAGCTGCCCGCCCAGCCCCCTGGGGGCGAAAAATGCACACCCCTAAGTCTCAAGACACCCCCAGATGCGCAGAGGCTAAGGAAATAATAAGCTTAAATCAAACCTGAACTGAAATATTATCCTGCCTGAATCAGCCAAAGAGTGGGAAGCACAATTAAAACACACAGCCTAACTCTGCAAAGGCTGGGCATAAACTGGGAGGCTACAAGGGACCATGTGACAGAGGGCGGAGCGTTCCCTAATGATTAAGCCCAGCCTACACAGACGCAGACTGGAGCACCTCCCACTCTCTGGATGATCCGAGCAGCTCGAGGGAGAAATTGAAATGAAAACATTCTTAGAAATGCACATATATTTATTATAATCCTTTGACATATGACCTGATATTAATCAGAGTATTTTATCCAATTGTATAATCCATCTTTAGAACTGAACCACTGGCAGATATGATGGCCATCACTGTAGATTCCCTCTCCTTGCCAGATAGAGTAAAACAGGGGTCCCCAACCCCGGGCTTGGTACCAGGCTGTGGAAATGGTGGGTGAGCTCATGCTCGCCTGCTCTTATGTGGGAACCATCCCCTCTCCACTCACCCTCACTGCTAGTCCACAAAGCCGGAAAGGTTGGGGACCACTAGAGTAAAGCAAACCTTAGCTGCCTGAACAAAACTCTATTATAGTATATATAAAGATGTATTTTACACACACAAAAATTGTATGGTCATCAGAAATTCTTAATTACAACAATTTTAAAAGTAGCAAATCTTCAACTGAATTATAAAATGCTATATACAATTTGAACTAGATTTAAGATAGGTAATGGACAAAGTTTTAAATAATGCTCTAAACTAAGGAATCAAGATAAATAATAAACCAAGAATCTTTGCTCCAGACAGAATGGGATGAAGATTTTTGTTTTTGTATTAATGACCAAGGCTCATATCAAAAGGATATCTCTACCATGGTGACCATCTTTGGTTTCATTTTGACAATTTCATATAATATTCCTCCATCACCACCTCCAAGAATGAGCACTTCTTTATTGGTGTAATCCTCTTTTCCACTCCCCATTATAGCTTTTGTATATGCTAGGTCACTTTCTGCCAGATCTTAAAAAGCAAAAAAAACTTATGAATATACACAAACATAAAAATAAAACCTTTTCATAACAATAACCATTTTGATACTTATAACTAATTAGTTAACTGACAATTGATATTATACAATGAATATTATATATATTTATAGTTGGTTAGTCTTACATTCATCCTTTAGAAATTAACAAACTTTATAACTATATGTAGTCTTCGACTTACGACTTCAATTGAGCCCATAAGTTCTGTTGCTAAGTGAGACATTTGTTAAATGAATTTTTGCTCCATTTTATGACCTTTTTTGGCACAGTTGTTAAGTGAATTACTCTAGTTGTTAAGTTAGTAACATGGTTCTTAAAGCGAATCTGGCTTCTCCACTGACTCTGCTTGTTCGAAGTTTGCAAAAGGTGATCACATGATCCCAGGACACTGCAACCATCATAAACATGAACTAGTTGCCAAACACCTTAATTTTGATCAGACCATGGAAATGCCACAATGGTCATAACTGTGAAAACAGCCGTAAGTTATTTTTTGTCAGTGTTGTAAGTTCAAACAATCACTAAACAAACTGTTGTAAATCAAGGACTGCAGTAGAAATTTGAAACAGGGGTAGACCTTTTGCCTGAACTACATAAGTTTAAAGCTATATGCTTACTACAACCTCATATTAAATCGGTCGGAACTCTTTTCTGTCACCCAAGAGAAATTTGTTCACATAATTCAATCAGCCATCATATCTCAGGTAAGAATGTTACATTATTTTACAATTAACCTTAATATAGTAAAATCAATAAAGTGTAATTGTATATCACTACAATTATATTTATATTTTACTTCATATCATCCAAGAAAAAAAATGTGACAAGCATCTAATAATCCTTCCTTTCATGAATAAAATATCAATTAATTCTCACACAGAATGTTCAGCAATTTAAGAAAAATAATCCTAGAAATAGGCAATTCCAAACCCTTAATAAGCCATGGATTATGGGTTGCATTTAGTCTGGCAATTTAGAAACTTTTTCAGCCTGATTCAATAGCAAATGCATGTATTTTATTTTAAACTGATAATACTCACTAACATCCCCACTGAGGATAAGAATATTTCCAAATTGTTTTGAATGTAAAATTTTAATATTCTGATAAGCTGATTCTTCGTCATATACAACTTCATCTATGTCATATTCCACCAATCGCCCATCTGCTGTAGGCCAGTATCTATCAATGGCATCCCCTCTCATAATGACTGGCAAGCTGAAAGAGGGAGGGAGGAAGGGAAGGAAGGAAGGACACATTTTATTCTTGTCAGACAACCTTAAATAACAGCTTCCTAAAGGGACTATTATGTATGAATAGATAGACAAGCCAATGCTACAAGCAAAATACATATTTTAAATTAATAAATAAATCAATACATTTAGTACATTTTCTTTATTATTTTCTAATGTCAGTGCTGGAAATTAGAAAATAGTAAAGAAAATGAATTAAAGTCTTTTACGTTCTAAATTTACACTTAATTCTAAAATATCTAAACATATATTAAATTCTCTTCAGAAATCTATTTTCTAATTTCCAGCATATTTCTATTTTTTTGCATGTATGTAAACATATATTTACTATTAATATTTGTGCACAATAGGACTTCACCAACTATATGTATCCATATAAACTACTATTTCTTAAGTCGGGATATATAGTATTAAATAGATTGCCAGAGAATTCTATCTCTGTTTGTTCTAAGTGCTATTAATACTGCAATGTAAGAAAGATAGGAAATTAAAAATTAAATGAATAATATTTTCTTGATCACGGATAATAGTAAAGAAAAAAAAATCTTATTTTTACTAATTCTAATTAAAATTATCATATATTCATAACATATTTGATAAAAAAGGAGGGGAAAGTACATGTGTGTGTGTGCACAAGCACCCACAATGTTTGTGGTGATGCTCGTGCAAGAGCACCCACGCTTGCATAACTGCAGTTGTGAGCACTGGTGACAACGCTCACAAGAATGGATCCACAAGTGCGAGTGGGGCTGAGAGCGCCCACAATGCTTGAGAGTGGGGCAGTGAGAGCCCATGATGACATTGCATGAGTGGATCTGCGAGCGCCCGCAACGAATGGGGCTGTGAGTGTCCATGATGACGCTCGCACAAGTAGATCCTCATCTGTGATGCGAGTACAAGTGAGGCTGTGAGCGCCCACAACATCACTTGCGTGAATGAGGCTGTGTGCATGGAGGCCCTTCATGTGGCCCAGTGATTAGTCTGGGGTCTGGTAATGGGACGTGGACCAGGTTGGGGACCCCTTGACTAGAGGGAACCAGGGAGAACTAAGGTTTACAATTAAAAGCAGTAGAGACTCATTAATTTAACGAAGTAATATTATTTGATTATGGAAGAATTCAAGGATACATGGGAACAATAAGCTCAGAAATTACTCTAAAAATTGTCTGTTACTATAAAATTGGATTTAAAAGATGCTATAGATGAGGAACAGATTTTACTAGATTAAATAGAATCTGAGGCTGATTTGAATATGAACCTGAAAGTGGATTTTAAAATGCCAGACCACAAAAATAATATGGAAAATGATGCCACACTGCATTTACAAATGAAATTGCCTGTTGTCTAAAAAATTAAGGGGGATATACTTGTGAAGGAGTTTGACAGGACACAAAGAAAAAAAATAAGAAATCAACTTGTGGGACATTATTTGACGGGATTCAAGATCAATTAAAGATTAAAATTAAGTGTAAGAAATATAAAGTGGGCTTATTTGATCTATATTAATATATAGTATATACAGTATACATTCATACATAAGAGATATTTTATTGATATCTCAGAGAAGGTGATATGTTACTGAAGTTGTATTTGTTATGAGGAAGGGTTGAAGTATTTTTTAATACATATTTTCTTGTTTTTTTTCTTCGCACTTTTAATTTTAAAGTTTTACTTTTTATATTCTTCTTAGTTTGTATTAGTTATTTGTCAACTTTAATAAAAATTATTATAAGAATTTTGAGTTGCTTTCCTTTAATTTAAATACATGGAAATAATCAACTTATAAGTCTATCCTTCAATATTAGCTAACTAAATAATATTACTGTTAGGAATGACAATCATCTAACAGTTGGGTTGACAATATATAAACCAGGATAGTCATTTAATACTGTTGTATCTTTAAGAGAATGCTGTAATTGTGATTGGCTGAGGTTCCTCCGACAGCCATAAGATAGAACCAGAAACCTGGTTTGTTCTCCTCTTGCATTTTCCTCTTGCCTTTTGCCTGAATGTCGTTCTGCTTGGATTGCTGTGAGTCTTGCAAACTGTTAGCAAACTCCGTTTACTGAACTTGGTTTATGATACTGGACTTCATTTTTGGATTATCCCTGGACTGGTTGTATTGAATATTACCTGCTTTAACCGTGTACGATTTGGACTGTTTGTTGGACTTTGTTTACCTGTTTACTGGAAGTAAAACCTACATTTACTATTCAGTGTATATGTATGCTGGTCGTGTGTTATTCAACACCACTCTCATTACATTTCCCTGAGTGCACTCATTCTCCTAACAGGGAATACCTCAACACTGGTTATGGGCCCAGGCCATACCAGACTCAGATAACTGAGTTAGTGTGAATACACAGTACCATATACAGACAGCTGTTTACTGTTTAATTGTGGGTTACTGTCCTGGTAAAGATGGCACAAGACCCGTCAACAAGTCTATCAATGATAACCTGGTTGGATGGAACAAACTATGTTTCCTGGTCTATGAAGTGCAGTCTACTTCTGCATAGGGAAGGGTTATGGGCTGCAGTTCAGGATCAGTTCAGTAATGCTTGGGATCCAAATAATGAGGACGATGCCAAAAAGTTAGCTGACTTTAAACAGAACAATGAATGAGCTCTTTGTATAACTGGACTAACACTGAGTGACCAGCAGCTAGCCCCTATTCGTGGAGAAGCGTCTGCTGCTAGGTGTTGGGAGAATTTGAAGATTTATGTTTGTGACAGTGTAGGTGCACATATACATCTTACACGTAAACTGTTTAGAGCACGTCTTCTGAAAGGTGGAGATATGTTAGCTCAATTAAACTTCATGAAAATAACTTTTCAAGAGCTACATGAAAAGGAACTGATTTTTTCAGAGCTGCATCAGGTTTACATCATTCTTTCCTCATTGGATGAAAGTTATGATAATTATGTATCTTCACTGAAAGTCCTGACCAGAGATAAACTGACATTAACTGACATAACTGGACGATTATTAGAAGAGGCAAGAAGGCTGGATAGAGACCAACTGAGAGAGAAACAACCACAAGAAGAGGATTTGTTTTCAACTGCCAAAACTGTTAGGAAATGTTTTTCTTGTGGAGCTAGGGGACATATAGCTAGATTCTGTAAAAAGGGAAAATGACAGAATACTGGTAATCACCAGAAGGTTAAGAAGAATGTTAATTTAGCTATGTCTAGCAAATCAACTGTAAACCATGATTTGTGGGTAGTTGATAGTGGAGCATCGCAATGCATTACTAGAAATAGGGAGAGGTTTGTAAAGCTGTCTATGAGTAAGCAACATGTATCATTGGTAAATGGATGGAAAATGAAAATATCTGGTGAAGGTACTGCATATTGTTCATGTGTAAAGGAGCATTTATCTATGTTGTATGTACCTAAACTGAAATTTAATTTGTTATCAGTAAGGGCTTTAGTTAATCTTGGTAATGTAGTAACCTTTAGGGGAGATAACTGTATAATAAAGAGGGTAAAAGTGTTACTGCTACTTTAGAGAATGATTTATATGTGATACATGATGACCAGCTGCAGATGGCTAACCCGGTTTATAACAATGTTAAGCCACATGACGAATGTATACATTTACTGCATAGACGTCTTGGGTACATTAATTTCAAAATGCTGAAACAAACTGTTAAATTGTCAGAGGGAGTAAAATTAAAACCCTGTAGCAAGCATTTAAACTGCAATGCCTGTAGCCAGGAGAAAAGCAAGGTTACTCCAGAAAACAGACTGAATGGGTTTAAGACCAAAGAACATTTAGAGGTTGTTTTTTGCTGACATAATTGGTCTTAAGAAACCCAGTTTGGGAGGTGCCTGCTATGTTTTGAGTATAATGGACCATTACTCACGGTACGGTTTCTGCTATCTAATGAAAAACAAAACAGAAACGTTCCAATATTTCTTTAACTGGCTAAGATTTGCTGAGAGAAAAATGAGTTTTAAGGTAATTACTTTAGTTACAGATAACGGGACTGAGTTTATTAAACAATGTTAAAATTGGCTGGCATCAAGCATAAGTGTTCTGCACCTTACAGGCCACAACATAATTTGTTTATAGAATGAAGGGGGCAAACATTACAAGCCATGGCTCGCACTATGTTATCTGATTCAGATTTGCCTGAAACACTGGGGTGAAGCCATAATGTGTAGCAACCATGTGTTAAACAATGTGGTGAATACAACAACTGGTGAATTGCCACTCACTCATTGGTATGGCAGAAAACCAAATTTAAATTATCTACACACATTTGGAACTCCAGCATGGGTGCATATTCCCTCACAAGTAAGACTTAAAGGGCAACATAAAGCTAGGAGATTATTTTTCGTAAATTATGAGGCCAACCATAGGTTGTTTAGATTCTGGGATCCAGGCACAGCTAATATTTACTGTAGCACTAGTGCTAAATTTCTTGAGCACGTTGGGTGGCATAAACTAGAACAGGAATCCAACAATGTTGTTATTGACACCCAAGTAGTCCCTAATGATGAGATAGTTAAACCATCAATAGCCATTAAAGAGAAGAACAGGCACAGGAGGAGGTAGAAGAACAGGAGCAGATGGAACAGGAGAGTCCACCAGTAAGCCCTGAGTTACCTAGACGTTCAACCCGTGTAACACAACCACCAGATAGATATCAGGCTAGTATAGTATGCCAAGTAAATACAGTTCCTAATAACTATAATTAACTAAAACTGTATCCTGCTAAGGATCAGGCTGCTTGGCAGGAAGCAATGGATAAGGAACTGAAATCTTTACAAAGTTTGGAGGTATATGAAAATGTCAGGTTACCACCAGGTAAGCATGCCATAGGGAGTAAGTGGATTTATAAAATTAAGACAGGTGTGGATGGGACTGTTTCTCATAAAGCCAGGTTAGTAGCACAAGGGTTCGATCAGTCAGCCAACGACCATGACGAGGTGTTTGCACCTAGTCTGAAGGCTACCACATTATGAGCAGCATTAGTGTGGGCAGCTAAAAATAAATACACAATAAACAATTTAGATGTGGAGACGGCATATCTTCATGCACTGTTGCAACATACTATATATTTAAAGAAGCCTTTGGGGATAAAAACTGATTGCTGGAGATTAAAAGAGTCTATATGGCTTGAAGCAATCAGGCTATGAATGGAACCAATGCATAGTGAAGGAATTAACAAAGATAGGTTGTAGCTGGCATGGCTGATCCATGTTTATTCAAAAAGGAAAGTGATGGTATAATTTCATTGTTGCTATTGTTCACTGATGACACTGCATTAATCACTAAGACTGATCAAGAAGCTATTGGGATTATTTCACTGTTAGAAAGGAAATTTAAAATAAAACATTTAGGTGAGATTAAATAGTATATTGGTTTGAAAATAGATAAAACTAAGGGAGGTTACAAAATCTCACAGGCAGATAAAATTAACCAGTTACTGAAGAACTTTAAAATGGAACTTTGTAAGCTGGCTAAGACGCCAATGAGCCAGGAGTTTAGCCACAGTGATGTGCAAAGTCCTGTTTTTGATAAAGATATTTATCAATCATTGATTGATAGCTTATCCTATCTAAGTAATTGGTCTAGGCCAGACATAGCATATAGTGTCAACCAATTAGCCAGGTTTAACTCTGAGCCACTGAAAGGAACTGGCAAGCTGCTAAGCATGTGTTGAGATATCTTAAACAAACGATGCATTATGCATTATATTTGGAGCCTAAGGATGAACAAAGTTTAACTGCATATGCCCATGTAAGCTTCACTAAAGACGCACCTACACGAAAATCAATGTCAGGTACTGTAGTATTATTAGGAAAGGTGTTAATTGGATGGCGGTTTATTTGACAAAAACATCTAAGCTTATCAACAATGGAGGCTGAATTCTCATGTTTGTCTCTATTATGTACAGACTTAGTATGTTATAAGCAACTAATGGTAGACATGGGAATTAATGTAAATAAACCTATAGTTGTATATGAAGATAATCAATCAGCAATTCAGATGGCTTCCAATCTCGCTGTAAAGACAAGATCAAAACACACCAATGTACGATATCTAAATGTCTGACAATGTGTTCAAAGTAAAATGATTACACTGGAGTATTGCATGTCAGAGAATAACACTGCAGACCATTTTACGAAAGCCCACGGCACTGTAAAACATAAGGCTTGCTGTGAGGAATATGGACTTAAACTGTAAGGTTTTATATATTGTCCTACCCAAAAGGGAGAATGTTAGGCATGATAGTCACCTAACAGTTGGATTGGCAATATATAAACCAGGATAGTCATTTAATGCTGTTGTATCTTTAAGAGAATGATGTAATTGTGATTGGCTGAGGTTCCTCCGACGGCCATAAGATGGAGCCAGAAACCTGGTTTGTTCTCCCCTTGCATTTTCCTATTGCCTTTTGCCTGAATGTCGTTCTGCTTGGATTGCTGTGAGTCTTGCAAACTGTTAGCAAACTCCATTTACTGAACTTTGTTTATGATACTGGACTTCATTTTTGGATTATCCCTGGATTACCTGAATGCTACCTGCTTTAACCATGTATGATATGGACTGTTTGTTGGACTTTGTTTACCCGTTGTTGGACTTTGTTTACCCGTTTACCGGAAGTAAAAACTACATTTTACTATTCAGTGTATATGTATGCTGGTTGTGTGTTATTCAATACCACTCTCACTACGTTTCCCTGAGTGCCCTCATCCTCCTAATGGGGAATACCTCAACAATTACCACTGCATAAAAGCTCTATACTGTATATAATATAGGAGATAGTTTAACTATTACTATTTCAGAGTAATTTATTCAGTCATGTCCTTCAGTCATGTCCTTCACTCTTACTCATATTTAAGAGATGTATGAAAGCACAAACTTCCTTACCGCTTTATCCTTTTGATACTTTTATGAAATAATTCTTTCATTTTTTCTTCTACTTTATTTAGAAGCTGCAGGAAAACATATATGTGTATAAACCACAGTAAAACATATTAGACTTAAGAATTTGATACCACTCTAATTATTACAAATATATGCATCATTTTTATTATTCAATCCACTTTGTATAGCTTAGGTTCAAGTCCCAGAACATCTTCTTGAACATTACTTCAAATACAGATTTTTATACACATAGTAAAGCAAAGCTGAAGTTTTGCCCACTTTTCTTTATGTGGTTCAGTGAAACAAAGTTTTCAGTAAACAATTAATAAAATGTTAGTAATAGTTTGCATTATTTGATTTATATTCCAATTTCCCACCACAAAATTGTGAATTAAATGGTGATGCATAACCTTAGCCTTGTAGTTTTATTATCATCACTCTTCTAATTTATTTTCCCTTTTTAGCAAAAAATCTGATATATTTATTTATTTATAAATATTTCTATTTCCTTCTTATTGACGTCTTTTATATAATTTGTAATATTTATGAAGGCTTGCTATCTAACTTCAATATTGTGGAAAGAGACTCACAGTAAAAAATATAATAAACTTGATTATTACATCTGCTTATGTTTTTACTTGTTTTTGTTTTTTACATATATGCTAGGTATTGGCTATAATGAACTGAAATTGAACGAAACTGATGCTAAATGTTTTAGGCAAATCCTTAAAATTATCTGAATAACTCATGTGTTTTTCTGTTGGAATAACAGTAAGTCTAACTCATCTTTTTTTTAATAACTCATCTAATTAGGTTCCATTATTTATATCATTGTAACTTCATTCTCAAAGGCTATGAAAGAGACTTTAAAATCCTCTCTGTGAAAGAATAGCTAAACTGTGAGTGTATGTAAAAATAAATCCTGCAAAGAATTTAACTCCAGATTATAATTTTATATAGAGAACTGAACCATATTCAGTGAGAGCTTCTCTTTACATGTGAAACTCAAAAAATTAGAATATCATGCAAAAGTTCATTTATTTCAGTAATGTAACTTAAAAGGCGAAATTAATGTATGAGATAGACTCATTACATGCAAAGCAAGATAGTTCAAGCTGTGATTTCTCATAATTGTGATGATTATGGCTTACAGCTCATGAAAACCCCAAATCCACAATCTCAGAAAATTAGAATATTACATGCAATCAATAAAACAAGGATTGTACATAGAACAATATAAGACCTCTGAAAAGTATAAGCATGCATATGTACTCAGTACTTGGTTTGGGCCCCTTTTGCAGCAATTACTGCCTCAATGCGGCATGGCATGGAAGCTTATCAGCCTGTGGCACTGCTGAGGTGTTATGAATGACCAGGATTCTTCAATAGCAGCCTTCAGCTCTTCTGCACTGTTCGGTCTCATGTATCTCATCTTTCTCTTGGCAATGCCCCATAGATTCTGTATGGGGTTCAGGTCAGATGAGTTTGCTGGCCAATCAAGCACAGTAATCCCATAGTCATTGAACCAGGTTTTGGTGCTTTTGGCAGTGTGGGCAGGTGCCAAGTCCTGCTGGAAAATGAAGTCAGCGTCTGTGAAAGGAAGCTCGTCTGTGAAAGGAAGCATGAAGTGCTCCAAAATCTCCTGGTAGACGGCTGACCCCTGGACTTAATGAAGCACAGTGGACCAACACCAGCAGATGACATGGCTCCCCAAATCAACACAGACTGTGGAAACTTCACACTGGACTTCAAGCATCTTGCAGCGTGTGCCTCTCCATTCTTCCTTCAGACTCTGGGTCCTTGGTTTCCAAATGAGATGCAAAAGTTGCTCTCATCAGAAAAGAGGACTGTGGACCATTGAGCAACAGACCAGTTCTGTTTTTCTTTAGCCCAGGTAAGATGCTTCTGACGTTGTTTGTTGTTCAGGAGCGGCTTGACAAGAGGAATACATCATTTGAAGCCCATGTCCAGGATCCATCTGTGTGTGGTGGCTCTTGATGCACTGACTCCATCCTCAGTCCACTCCTTGTGAAAGTCCCCAACACTTTTGAATGGTCTTTTCCTGACAATTCTCTCCAGGCTGCGGTCATCCCTGCTGCTTGTGCACCTTTTTCTTCCACGCTTCTCCCTTCCATATAACTTTCTATTAATGTGCTTTGATACAGCACTTTGGGAACATCCAACCTCATTTGCAATTACCTATTGAGGCTTTCCCTCCTTATGGAAGGTGTCAGTGATGGTTTTCTGCACAACTGTCAGGTCAGCAGTCTTTCCCATGATTGTGCTTCCTACTGAACCTCACTGAGAGACCATTTAAAGGGTCGGGAACCCTTTGCAGGTGTTATGGCTTAAATTAGCTGATTAGAGTGGGACACTTTGAGCCTAGAATATTGAACCTTTTCACAATATTCTAATTTTCTGAGATTGTGTATTTGGGGTTTTCATGAGCTGTAAGCCATAATCATCTCAATTATGGCAAATCATGGCTTGACCTATCTTGCTTTGCATGTAATGAGTCTATCGCATATATTAGGTTCACCTTTTAAGTTGCATTACTAAAATAAAGCAACTTTTGCACGATATTCTAACTTTTCGAGTTTCACCTGTATATAAGTCTTACCATTTCAGTTGCATAACTTCAATTTTAAATTACCATTTCTGATATTTATATTGTTTAGAGATACTGATTTTAGTATTTTAAAAATGATATATTACACCTGGTCAATGAACTTCTGAAAAACTTTAATTCCTATATCTGTAAATTCAATTTATTCATCTGTATATTTTTAATCTTTTTTTCCTTTTTGATTTCCTTATTGTTCTTCAATTTTTTGCAATAATATTTTAAAATTAAAATAAAAAGTTAAAAACATGTTGCATCATAGCAAAAGACTATTTTGCTTAGCATTTTTTTTCGCATATTAGTCACCCAAATGACCAAGAAAACACAAGCTCTTCCTTGCTGCTCTCTTTTAGCAACTATATTCAGAAACGTGCACCATCTGATACCAGAAAACTATAACCACTGTGACAGGCTATGTACCTATTATCCACCTAGGTGCCTACTTACTTACTCACCCATCATTCTATTATTCTCTTTAAGTATAAACAATGTTATAAAAAACCCAGAAAACAATGGACAGTAAGCCAAAAATATTAAAGGCAGGCGGGAAGAAAAGGAAATGCTGTCAAAACTAAATTGATAATCGTTATTGACAAAAATCAATAAATAGATACTTTTATATGATTACCCTTTGCATGAAAACCAAATCAGATAAGGTTTGTGGCTAGGATTTAAGTTTAATAATCAACATCTAAACTCTCACATTTGTTTCGTGGAGAGATTTTTTTTTGCTGGCTTTAAGTCAGCACTGACTCCTAGCTTAGACTCTCAGATAGTTTGGAAAAGATCCTGTTCTTAGCAGGTTTTTCAGAAGTGGCTTGCCATTGCTTGCTACCAAGAGCTGAGAAAGAGTGACTGGCTCAAGTCTACCTAGATAGCTAAGGCGGAACTAGAACTCATGGTCTGATGTATTAGCCAAGCCTGATGCTTAAAAACTACTCCAAACTGGCTCTGCTAAAAGACTTCACATGGTTCAATTTACAATTTATCACTGTAAATATGATACATGTATGACCAATGAGGGAAAAGGTCAGCTAAAAATGTATAAAATATTTTATTTCCTCTTTTAATAAAATTAATTATTAATAAAAATTAATATGTACCCACCTGTTCTGTTTCTTCTCTCTCATTCAAATCATTGCAACTCTGCACATCAATCAAAACCAAACCATGAGGATAAATTCTCAGATTCGCAAAGCTAGACAATAAAAAGAAAAGAAAGTATAAAGCCAGAATTTAATTTACTAAATAAAACTCTAATTTAATAAGAATTATAAGAATTTATATATGCTGAAGAATACATTTCTTATCTGCACAGCAAGTTAGTGTTCTAATTAAAAAATTACATTCCCTTCCTTTTTTAGACAGATCTGACTCTTAAAAGTTCTCAAATAACTTGGCCAAAGATGTCACCTGGAGATCAGATTGGTAATAATTCCTCTTTATTTTAAATAATTATTTCTTCTGCAACAACTGAGAAATTGCTACCATCAAAACTGTTACTTGCTCTTCTGGGTCAACAATTCTTTGAGTGTTTATTGAAAGATGGCCACCTGGGTATTTTACTGCCTTTTTTTGTATGCTAGCTTAATATTTTGTAAATATTTATCAACTTTCAAATAGTGTTAATAAATATCTAAAGAATCTATATATCATATATTGGGATTATATTGTTATCAGTACTCCAAAAACAGCTAACTTTCTCTGTATGTTAAACTATAGGGAGAAATAGGGGTCTTTGAAAATAAAATATCACTTTTCCTCCGGTATTTGATTAATACTTCAATGGATTGTTTTGATTAATTACTGAGTTCAATCAAAATTTTATATAGTGGGTGATTTTTTAATGTGTTATTATATATTTAATTTATTCTTTTTGTTGTACACTGTGAGAACACATTGTTTTTGTTTAGTGGCCCTTTAAATCCAAATAGCCAATCAATCAATCCTTCAAACTAAAATAAAACATAAACTGATCTTTGAAAACATCTGGGCCAGAATACCCATGGTTCTAGAAACATACAACTTTGTTAATGAAATACGATTTGTTTCTGAGCCATTATGTTCCTAAAGTCATTCACAGTTTTAGGTGACTCCTAAACAACTTTCTACTGCTGGTAAGAACAAAGGATATGCATTCCGTGTCTCCAGAAACATATTTAACATAGAACACAGAAATTTATCTGGAACTCCCAAGAGGGAGGCTTATTATCTGTTTTTTGGGTCAGATGGCTAAAACCAGTGTAGTTAGTGTAGGCTCTGGGAATATAAACAAAATGATATTTTATTTGAAATGCTCAGCACTGATTTCATTATTGGTGATGTAACTGATTTAACTGCTAACTTATTTTTGTATTTTGCACTTTTAGTTTTATTTTACTTTACTATTGTTAGCCTCTTTCTACTCTCTGTAGTTTGTTTATAATCCTAATTAAAATAATTGTTATTATATAAATATACGTGCCTTTATTTATCAAAATTAAAAATGCAAGGATTTCTACAGTAGTTGTATAATATCAATTCAAGAATACCAACATATCCATGCAACGGAAATACTAAAAACATTGTGAATTTTGTCACAAAAGTTATATTTTGTTAAGCTTTGAATATCCAAATGCAGGTAGTCCTCAACTTATGAAAATTGATCCCAACATTTATATTGTTAAGTGAGACATTTAAGTGAGTTTTGCCCCATTTTACAACTTTTCTTGCCACAGTTGTTAAATGAACCACTGCAGTTGATAAGTTAGTAACCCGGTTCTTAAGGGAATCCAAATGTCAGCGTTCCAGTTAAACTCTCCATGTGATTCAAAACTCCAAGACAAAGTCCATCAAAGTAAGAATTTATTAGTCATGTTGGCACATCTGAGGAAAACACAAATATGAATTCCCACGGTTTCCCCTTCCACACTAAAACTCACACCCTGCCCCTTCTCATTTCTCAACTACCGCCAATTCCAGTCACTCCCCTCCAAATGCCAGTAACTTGTCCTTGATCTCTGGTGAAAGAATGTTGTTGTGGCTATACTCCCTTCAATGCTCTGCCGTTCCCACAGCTTGCCCATCCCCCACTGTGACAGCCCTGAATCTGAATCAAGATGGATCCAGGGCTGACAGGCTGCCTCCCCTCAAGCGCTGATGACGTCCTGAAATGAAACAAGTGACAGGAGGTTAGGAATCAAAACCACCTAACCACCTCTTCCCCCCACCCTGGGGGGGGGGGGGGGGCACGGCGGCTTTGGCTTATCGAGAAACTTTTTCTGAAGTTCCTTTACCAACCTATCTGCCCTTGCAACCCAACCCATGTGGCATCAGACAAAGTGTACCCCTTTCAATGGATTATGTATTGTAATCAACTTATAATGTCCTGCCTCTCCTCGTTGCTCAAGAAAGTAAAGACTCTTGAAACTTTAACATTTCAAAAGGAACCTTTTATTGAACAGGAGTGATAGCAAAACTAAAGAAAGCAGACTCTGAGTTTCCCTCAAGCAATACAGTTAGAATAAAAGAATTAGAAACCCCTCCCTTCAGTCCATGTAGATTCAGTCAATTGGCAGGTGTGAATATGTTAATGTAATGGCCATTCTGAGAACCTAATAAGCCAGTGTTCTCAGGGTCATCTTCTGCCGCCTTTCAGAATGAAACAACCCACCTGCCCCCACCCTTACATTCCTCAAAAATTGAGAAAATCTCAGGGCGCCTAGGCACCAGGATAAAGGTTATAAAAATGAAAAGTTACAGGCTGTGCAGTGCGAGGAAGAAAGCAATAAACTAAGTACGATATCCAGGGTCCCCCCTTTCCCAGAAGAATGGCAGTATCATGCCAGGGATCCGACACGAGCCCTATGTAATCTAGAGTTTAAGATTTTCTTTACCTCATAATGCTTCTCACCCTGGATTACTATTGGCTTGGGAGCGGGTTGATCTCTTGGTCTCAATTATGAGCAAACAGCCGGTTTCAATAAACTACTGTGGAATACCAAATGCACTTTCCCTAACAAACAAGGGAGATTTAGTTGCAGAGTTATCAGATTCATCACTTGCACTATTGGGAAGCGTCCTAGGAAGTTTGGATCTAGTTTCTTTGTAGGCAACTTTAGTCTAAAGATATTTAGTGGATAAGTAGACCCAATCTCCCACTTTAAAGAAGGCTTGCGGGGATCGGTGCTTGTCCACCTGCTGCTTGTATTTTTCAGCTGTTTGGGCAAGGGCATGCTTGGTATTGTCCCTCCCGTTTTAATGAGTCCATCCACTCAGCTAGGGACATTGAGGTTGGAGTCTCTCTATGCCAGTGGTCGCCAACTGGTGGGCTGCAGAGAAATGTCCGCTCCAAAGCACCCTCCCAAAGCAATTAATCCAGGCTGCACAGGAACACAAGGCTGCGCCACCCACGTGGCCCACCCACCCACTGGCCCCACCCTTCAGCCGAGCACAAACCTGCAAAAAGCAGTGCAGTCCTCACGGCCAGGACAAGGTAATGGTCCTGCTGCAGCAAGAGGGGGCTGGCGGCACAGGTGGGCTGAAGCAGTGTTGGAGATGGCTGGAAGGTGCAGGAGCGCCATACTACTTGCATTTGTGCAGCACTCCCACACCTTCTGGCCTGGGCTCTTCCTCGATGGCCGTGGGCTGTAGGAACAGCTCAGGGCAGGAAAAGTACTAGCTAGTGGTGGTGGGAGAGGATGGAGTGGGCAAGTCTGCACTCACCATCCAGTTCAGAGGTCTGGAATGGGACGCAGTTTTCTTGTCCCTCTCGGCGCTCTGCTCTGCTGACCCCCCCCCACTGCTGCCCAGGGAAGGCACAGGAAAAGCAAGCAGAAACATAGCTCTTGCTGGGGTGAAAGAGCTGAGATCAAGGAAGGCACAGGCAAGAAATGGAAGCTGCTACCTTTGAAAAGCACCACTTTTTGTTGCCTATGCCTTCCCCGATCTCCACTCTTTACCCCAGCGAGAACTACGTTTCTGCTCACTTTCTTTTCCTGTGCTTTCCCCGGGCAGCGATGGCTGGGGCCGTGGGGGGAGGGAGCAGCAGAGATGTCAGGGCTGCTCTCCCCCCTCAGCAAGTCAGGCCTGGAGGAATGCAAAGAATTGTAGGCAAGCGCCAGAGAAATGCATGTTGGAAATGCCAACACATGTTTCCAGTGCACTTTTCTCTGTCCTGAAGTAGGATTGAGTGGGGGGAAGAGAACAGGGGGAAGGGTAGGAGGGAAGGAGAAGCCCGGCTGGCTTTCCTTTGGCATGGGGTGGGGGAGGGGAAAGACCAAATGCTCAGACCAAGAGTGCCAAGGAAGGCAGGCTCCTAATAACCAGCCTGTTTGTGCAGGCAAGAGCGCGAGCATTTCTGGGCTGGACACCTCCCCTTCAGCCTCCACACAGGGCAGGACCCTTCTCTGCTTGGAAGCGGCAAGAGAAATCTGGAGCTTAGCCTCAGTCCTCTTCTTGTGTGGAGGCCAAAGGGGGGAAATGTTACCTGGTTATTAGGAGTCCATCTTCCTCGGTGCTTCCAGCCCGACCTTCCTTCCCTCCCCCAACTCCAAGCAGCCACACTTGGCAAAGGAGGGAGAGGTCTCCTCTAACTTGGAGGAGATATGAAATGAAAGGAGACCAGATTGGGGGTGGGGGGTTCTGCTTTTCTTCCATTTGAGGGGGAGCCGGTTCCTCCCAGTCCAGATCTTCCCAGCCTCCAGGCACCATGTGGCTTCTTTTGAAACCCAGCAGGTATTAAAACCTCCCTCTTTCCCCACAAAGGATGAGAGAGGCCGCTCCTTTCCCTTCGCTCTGCCCCAGTTATGATTAAACACTTACGATTTTGTTATAATTAAATAAGCATTTTTATAATTATGTATATATTAAAAATTAATTTTTAATATTAAATTTATATCTAATATAAAAATAATTTTTAAATTAAATATATTATCTTTTCTTTTTAAAAAAAATCATATTAGTGGTCCTCAGGATTTAAAAGTACAAGTTTGGTGGTCCCTGAGGTCCAAAAGGTTGGCGACCCCTGCTCTAGGTAGCTCTAGGTAGCTCAGGCATAGGTATAAAGTCCATTCTGCTGGTGACTTGGAAAGGGGTTAAGCCTGTGCTACTTTTGACTGCATTGTTGTAGGCTACTTCCACGAAAGGTAGAAGGTCAGCCCAATTTTCTTGCTCGTAATCATCTCAGATACTGTTCCACCATGGTGTTCATCCGTTCTG